GGACCAAATGTTGGAATCACGTAAAAACAAGGACAGCCATTTTATTTATTTATTTATTTATTTTTTAGTTAATGCTCAACCAAGGATATTTTTTCCATTGGTTTTTTAGAGGGAGTGGAAGGGGTTGAGGGAAGGAGGGGGAGCGAGAGAAATATCAGTGTGAGAGAGACACATCGACTGGTTGTCTCCCACATACACCCCGACAAGGGCTGACGCTCTAACCACTGAGCACATCAGCCAGGGCTAGAACAGCCATTTTATTTATTTTATTTTATTAATTTATTTTTTATATATGTCTTTATTGACTTCAGAGAGAGGAAGTGAGNCAGGGCTAGAACAGCCATTTTATTTATTTTATTTTATTAATTTATTTTTTATATATGTCTTTATTGACTTCAGAAAGAGGAAGTGAGGAGGGAGAGAGAGAGATAGAAACATCAATGATGAGAGAGGGTCATTGATCGGCTGCCTCCTGCATGTCCCCTGCTGGGGACCGAGTCCCCAACCCAGGCCTGTGCCCTGACCAGGAATCGAACCTCAATCTCCTGAATCACAAGTCGATGCTCAACAGCTGAACCACGCTGGCCGGGCTAGAACAGTCATTTTAAACTGTGTTCATGAGGAAAGGCAAAATCCCTTCAAATGAGTGGAAAGATAAAAAAAAAAATCAAGCAGAGAAACGAAAATGTAAAAGGCACCCAAATGGAAATTTCAGAACAAACCGGCCACACAGCGGACACTGAATAGCCTACAGAGGCCTGCCAACCAGGGCGGCAGGCTGACCTCACCTAACGGCCACAGCAAAGGGAAGACAGAGGCTCTGTAGGTGAGGCCGCCCCCTGAAGCATGCCCTCCTGCCCTGCATGTTCAGAAAATGGGGCTCCCGGGAGGCGTGCCCACAGCCTTGAGCACTAGGGTAGACACGGCTGTTGCAACTCCAGGGGCAGAAGCATGGTCCTTCTCCTGGGGCCACACTGCCAGGGTTATGGGGGGACAGCCACTCCCCTGACGCCCAGGCTTCCTTCTGTAAAACAGCAGCACCCAATGACCCCAATGATGATTGGCTACTGGCCTCATAAGTTCTGATCCCAAGATAGCCCATGACCTAGGAGCTGGAGTTCTTGCATTTAAATCTCACCTCTGGCTGTGTGACTTGGGTTCATTCCTGCCTGAGTCTCAGGCTCCCAATGATTCAAAACAAGGGTGGAAATAGGTCACCTGTCCATCCCTTCCTGCTGGAACATTCTAGGATTCTAAGCTTGCCTTTTGATCCTATGCCTGTGCTAGTCCCACTGTCATTGCTTCTCATGGCTTCCAGATTCTGAGAGAGGCCCAGGCTGCCAGGCCTCGCTCGGCTCTCTGTCTGGTCGGGCCTGTCACACAGTAGGTTCTCAATTCAGGAGCCTCAGTTTAACAAGGACTGTCGGCCGGGGAGGCTGGGAAGGAAGAGCCAGGCAGGGAGGGGACCCTGTGGGGTGCTCAGCTGAGGGTCCTGAGGAGGGTGAGGCCGGGCAGCCTGCTGCTCCCAGCACAGTCTGGACACCTAGCATGGGTTCGGCCCCATTTGCTAGGAAATTTGCAGAGAGGAGAGAGGAGAGTTAGTGCCGTTGCCTTGGCAACCGCTCTGTCACATTATAATGAGGCTGGCAGTGGAAGGAGGCTTTTCTTAAAGGAGCACGAAGCCTATCGATTGCCGGCTCCCGGAGTCAGCAGGAACTGGGCTCCCTCCCAGCACTCTGGCCCGAGTTCCACCAGCAGGAGGACAGCAGGAGAGGGGGTGGGGTGGGGGTGCCCCTGGACCTGCTGTACCAGCTGATGAGCAAAGTGGTGCCCAATGGCTCAGTACCCATTGGGCCGCATCCTAGCACAGCTCAGGGGCTCAGGGGTGGCGTGAAGGGACAGGGCTGCTGCCCCAATAGGCCAAACCCTCGGACCTGGGCCCTGAGCCCACCTCGACACAGAGCCACCACTGTGAGGCACTCCATGGTTTCCCAGATGGAGAAGCTGGCAGCTAAGAAGGAAAACAAGAATCTAAACGGGTCAGACGAGAGGTGTGGCAAGAGGCTGTGGCCACCTTGCGCCTGGACTTCAGACAACCCAAAGTGGTGAATGGAAGCAAAGAACCCCGGGGAGCCTGCTGGCGGATAAGCCAGGCCCAGCGACCAGGGATGGTGGTGGCAGGAGCAAACACAAACATTGTAAACCCTGACAAGGTGAAAATGGCATAAGCACTAAAAATGCAGAGACAGGAAACGGGAGGCCAAAGGAAGGGGACATGAAAATCACGCATCTTTCTGACCAAGATGCGGCCAATGTGGACAAGATGGGAATGGGGGATAGAAACACATCAGAGTCCACAGTGAATGGTCTACGTGGACTTTTGTCCTCCGTAGTAGAAGGTGCTCCTAGGAGGTGACACCTCGTGCACTCAAGATGAGCAAGATGCGCAACTCCTTCAGGTTTGCTTTCTTTTCCCATCCTTCAGTCAAGATCAAGCACAATCTAGGATTTCTAAGTCACAAAGCACGTGAGGCTCTGCCCCACGGCTGTGGCTCACTCACCCCATGCAGCTGGCAGGGAGGAGCTGCCCGCGTCAAGCCCACTGGCAGGAGGCTCGGGCACCAGCCAGCGGTGGGGGGGGAGGGGGGACTTGCCCAGGGTCATAGGAGGGGATTTGGGTTTAGAGGACATCCCATGGTCACCACCCAGGGATGACCCTGGCCATTCTGGCTATTGGTTACTGTACTCTTAAAGCAATACAGTAATGAGTTCTGCCATTTCAAAAACACACAAACAGCTTTATTAAGATATAACGCACATACCTTACAATCTGCCCATTTAAAGTGTACCAGTCAATGGTTTTTGGTATCATACATCATTATGTCTTTCTATTGTGGTTGCAAATTATATATATATAGTAACATTTTAAACATTTTAAGTGTACAATTCAGTGGCAATAATTACATTCCCCCAGACTAGGACGGACAAGACACAGCCCTCCAGCTCCCAATGCAGGACTCTCTCCAGCCCCGCGTCTCTCCTGGAGGCCAAGCGGCTTACAGACAGCTTTCTTCCGCTCAATGGGCGAGAGAACACTGGGGTAAATAAAACAGAGGCGAGGGCAGAGAGACAGAACTCCCACAGCCCGGCTTTCATTTTTCCCACCTGTCTCATCGCAGGAGCTCAGGGTCCACCCTGAGGGCACACCACCAGGACCCCCCACCCTGCCTCTAGGACCTGGAACCTGGCCCCTTGAAGTCCAGCCCACCTCGGCTTCCCTGACCCGCCGCCTGGTTGGAGCTCTGCCTTCCCGACTCAGAGAACAGGGTTTCCCTGTGGCAGAGCCCTCAGAGAGAGGAGGTGTGGCAGCCCCCATCGCCTGCTCTCTCAAGGTACCTATGCTCAGCTCCTTCACCCAACGGCAAGGTGGAGCCTCCGCCAGTGCTGGATGTCACAGAGATAGGGCAGGCGTTGGCAGCTGCTCCTCGATCTGGAACTCCCTGGGTGGCCCCATGTGAGTCCCTTCCCCTGCCCCACGGGGCTCCTTTCCCCACCTGTCACAGAAGACGGCTGGACCACATCGCCCTCCCAGCTGTGCATTCTGTGCCTATTGGGTCTGGCGTCTCTGGCTGTATTTTCTTTATAGAGTATATTTCCCAAAGACTAAACATTAAACAACAGAACAGACACAAGAGGGATGCTTCTAAATCCTGTTGCCACCTTATCTTCTCAGAAAATAAAAGTGGTTGTGGATTTCTCCCCTAGAATGAAGAATTTAAATGGACAATGTGCTCCCCAGAACAAGCTCCTGTGGCTGGAGACCTGGATCTCTGGCTGGGAGTTCATTTGACAGGACAGCATGGGGTGACAGGGAGAGGGAGGAGGAGAGGAAGTCTGTCTCCACAGCTGGACGGTGGCCCAGGCCTTGGGGTCACCGAGCCCTCAGGGGTCTGGAAGCCCACGGCTGGCTAGCACCTCTCCTAGGTCCCCGCTTCAGGCCAGGCTTGCTGGGGAGGCAGGGCCATGTCCTCCGTTTCATCCAAACACATCTGCACACAACCCAAAGCAGATCCACAGGGACCCCTACATGCCTGTGCATTCCCACCCCCCTGTGCGCACACAAGCCAGGAACACAAGGACAGGCCCTGGCCCATGCACCCTGCATGGGACCGAAGCTCCCTTCAAAATGCCCGTTCCCACCCCAAGAGGGCAGGAAACAGCCCTGTCTGGGCCAGATGACCTGCCTGCTCGCTCTGCGCCCATCCGCCCATTGGCCCATCCGCCACCCGGGTCCTGGAGCATCCTTCCTGGGTCAGAGCCTCAGTGGCTCTCAGCAAAGGCGGCCTCTGAGGGCATGCTCTGCTTTTCTGTTCCAGCCTCCGAGAGATGCAGGCCCTTTCCCCCTAGGCCAGCACCCCAGCTGCCGCTGGCCCCTCTGCACTGTGCGGTCCACTCCTTGCACCTGGAGGGCCCGGGTCCCAGGCGTTGGCCGCCCTGGCGTCTGGATCCCAAATCCCAGGGGCCTGGGGCCCCCACCCTCACCCCCCGCAGCTGCGCCCCAGCCGCACGGAGTTTCTTTCCGAGTTGAATTCCCCCGCCTTTTTGATGTCACATCCTGTCCCAGCCT